AATGATGATGCTGTCTCTTTTTGGTCCTTGGATTATCGGGGCCAAGATTCCCTGGACAATCGCCATGTGGAATCCTATTGGGAAGTGACCAATACCATGATTTCCAAAGTCAAGGACGTGGTATTACGAGACGAATTGCAGAATGGAGGCGTTTTGGAAATTTGGGACGTTTTGGACATTGACATTACCATCAACTACGAGGATGCAATTGCGCACAATTTACAGCCGGGGGATCCACGATGGATCAACAATGAACTTGCCAAACCAAGCCGGACGGCTTATTTGGACGGACATGCGGTGGTCCGAACGGATGCGGAACAAGCCTTTTTCCAAGAGTCCTTTGTTCATCCAGCACTCATGGCACTAGAGAATCCAAGAATGATTGCCATTCGTAAGTGGTGATGATGGTGGTTTGATGTCTAATGTATGGCTGGCTGGCTGGCTGGCTGTGTGTTTCTAACCATTGCTGTTCCTCCGATGATCGTTGTTGCAGTCGGCGGACCGGGCAGCATCCTTTACGAAATTCTCAAGTGCCACACGATTGAATCCGTCACTTGGTTGCAACCGAATGAGCAACTCATTCAAACAATACAGGAATTCATTCCACAGACATTTGATTGCAGTGATTTACAAGGGCGGCCTGATAGCTGCTTGGAAGAAGGTTCGACGGCTCCTTTGAAATGGGTCAAGCAAGATGCTAAGGACTACTTTGGAGGCAACAATATTGCGAACGACAATAGTGTCTTTGATGTCATTTTCAGTCAACTAGTGAAACCACACAATGCAGACGACTTGACTAGTTATGTGGAATCAGTCATGAAAGAAGGACTATCACCAGATGGAGCACTCATGCTCAGTTTAGGTCAGGCACCAACGGTACTTCACCCTCGAGGTGATATTGGTCACTTTGCGAGCTACGAGAATTTGTTTCGAACGCTGGAAGGACTTGATGAGGTTGACTCGATGACTGTCTTTGAAGAAGACTTTACCCTGTCTGGGTTTACGAATGAAATCGTTCCCGAAACATTCCTATTGGTGTGCAAGAGTGCGAAATGTTTGGAACGGTTCCATTCCAAACCGGAAATGATTGATTTGCAACTGACAGGAAGATACCTTTCACGGTTGAGCAACAAGCCCATTTTGGAGTATTACGATGGTGCGGTACATTCGAGGATGCAGGTTCCACCAAAAGCCTATGAAACGATTTACTGTCGACGAGAACCAATGCCAATCGAATGTGCCTACCGATCCTTGGACTTTTCCCATTCAATGTACGAATTTGACGCTAGCGATCTGACAAGGAGTGCCTTTGAGGTGTTGAAAGAAGAGGAGGAGGATGTCCGAGTGGTTGCCACAGTCGACATTCCAGAAGGATCGTACATCATGGCCAAGGATCTGTCTCAGTCCCTTCTAGTATCAGAAGCTTCATTGGGAAGAGTATTGTCAGATGACGATGGAGCAGACAGCTTGGCATCAGCGGGCCGCGTGTCATTGCATGGAGGTAGTGCAAGAAGTAGAGTGTTGGAAATGGGTGTACCGGGGCTGATTCTAACCACGGAGACTGCCGAAGCATCGAATGTTGGATGCTGGTTTTGTCCCCAACAGAGTCAACGACCAAAGTATTCACCCGTTTATGATCGTCACTTTGGGTCATTCGATTCATTTTTGGTGGCCACCAAGGCGATAGCAAAGGGTGAAGAATTGGTTCGACTCCTCGTCTGAGGAGTACTGTATTCCTGCGAGAAAGAATGACTGGAATTGGATACTTTCAAAAGCAGGTAACACTCACTGCCTGCGTTTTGGAATAACTGTATTGTATTATAAATACAATGTAAATTGTAATATATGACCACACCTTCTGTTAGGTAGATACAAGACGCCTAAAAACAAGAAACTACTCCAAGTCGAAAGCATTCATTCTGACACTCACCATCGGCCAATAAGAACCAGAACAAGAACCACGTCGGATCGGAATTCGATACGAAGCCAGCCGGCCGGCAACAAATGTATGATGGGAACTCTCTGACACCTCCCAAAAAATGAGTCACTAAAAAAATTTGGAACTGACGTCTCACTTTATAATCTCATTGAAAGATACTTTGACTCCATGATGCACTACAACCAATACCTCTTCTGCATATTATGCTTCTATCTTGCTTCGTCTTCGTTGGCATTCTCGACAAGCCCACTCGCTGGAAAAATCCATGGACAACGTGTCGAAACAGCTCTGTTTTACGATGAATCATTGGACAAGGCACGATCAGCCGAGCCTCTTACTCTCACAGCAGAGGACTTGGCAACACTTCATAATCTAAGAACTCGGGTGGTAACCATTCCAATTGTGTTGATGGACGCAATCTTACCGCAACAGGAACTCTCTTTTATCAGGTATGTTAAATATTTCCCAGTCTATTTCACATCTGATGCCGGATTTCTAACAACTCCCTTTTGGAATACTTTAGTGATGATCGTAAGGCAGCTCTCATGCTCAAGCATGCTCTAGAGAGTGAAACACCAGAAATTGGAGTCATCGGTACGTCATGCCCAGTGTCAACATTGCCTGATATGTTCTGTGATTATTTCGACTCTTACATCTTATTTTCCTTGATGACAGGTTTCAACCCACACGACGGATCGCCACTTAACAAAGGAGTCACTGCACCAATTGCACCAGATCAAATTACTTACGGAATTGAAAGCGATTCCGACATGTCCATGGGAATCAAACTAAAAGGGCATCGATGCTTTGACGTTTTGGGTGAACCATTTATGGACGACACGAATTCCTTCTACCTTGCCAATGTTGAAATCACCGACCGCCGAAAAGAGACCATGACCGAAGAGATGGAAGAAAAGGCAGAAAAGTACTTTTCCATGATCGAAGATCAGGTTGGAGATTTTGTGTATTGGATGAAAAAGGAAGAAATAATGAGTAACGACGAACTGACAGAGCATTTGGAAACTCTTGGTCCCCTTCCAGATGACTTGAAAGAGCGTGCCTTGTGGGTTGGGTCGCTGGTCAATCCAGTTCCAGCGTTGTCAGACGTATGCCCTGACATTCGTCCAGCTTTGCTTTCTTGTCGAAACTCACATGATAGGCTCGCTGTTGCATCAATTGCATTGCACGCTGGCATCGATCGGCTGTCGAACGCTCGGCATTGAAGATGAGAGCGACTGTTCATATATATTACATAAATCCATTTTTGACGGCATGACACTCTGGTAATTGGATCTGAAAAGTCAACGCCATGTACACCATTGTATATACTAATAACGAATTCACAACTTAAAACTACTGAACATTGTAATGGGGAAAAGTAACGTTAAGACAAAAATAACCAAAACAATTGCCACGCTAATAAAGCCCCAAAGAGATTAATTTCTTGGTTCACTTGTTGCATTTCAATCAAAATGGACACGGCGGTCTCCGTCCGGATTGTAAGCAAAATCATCTCCAGCAGGTCGAAGGTGATCCTCACTGTAGGACGCGAACAAATCCTTGTACCATCCAGCAAGGATGCCCTTGTCGACAAATGATTCCAAAGATTTGTAATAAGCTGGAAGAATGCTCACCTTGTCGGTAGCTCTGGAATCTTCGATAGGCTCACAACCCTTTGGAAGCGGTTCACGACGGCAGTGGACCACAGCCGAAGACTTTGGTGGGTATTTGTACTTCTTCATGGACGACGAGTCAAAGTAGTTCAGAGGTGTGTTACCATCAATGGTTGGAGTCAAGCGAGTGCGAATCTTGTAATCAATCTCTGCATCGTTTGCAAACCAGTTGAATTCATCCTCGCGTTGCTTGAAAGAAGCAGTAAAAAGCCATGGAGAACCGAATCCACATCCACCCTGCAAAAGTCGAACATGCATGTTAGTTAATGATAGAACTTTTAGTTCGATCGCAAAGTGTCTGAATTACTTACCTCAGCATACTCTCGTGTCGCTGTGAATCCAGCTTTGGCCAGTCCTTCAATGTACTTCAGTCGGAATCGATCGACAGAGTGGTCCTCTGGAGGATCAGTGAGACCTCTTGCGGCACCAAGTTGGGCAATCAGCATTCCGTTGTCGTTCAAACCACGGTACAATGATTCATAGAAATAAGGATCAGTATACAAGTTGGCCACAAACTCTGTCAAACCTTGTGGGTCGCTGTAAATCACAAGCAGAAGAAAGTTGAGATGAATGAAATGCAAAAGACAACAGCTCAAATTCAATAAGATACTTGCAGCGCATCCATGATGATAACATCAAACTTCTCTTCGGTGCCCTCAAGCTCTGCACCCTCCAAGAATCGGTCCTTGAACCACTTGAAGGCATCTTCCAAGTAAACGGATGCCTTTTCATCTTCAAAGCAAGATTCAGCTCGTCCTACCAGGTTGGTACAGTTATTCCAACCAGGCAAGTATTCCTTCGAGATTTCGACAATCATCTTGTCAATATCAATCATGACTACTTGATCAATGGTGTTGTGCTTCAAGATTTCTCGAAGAGTGGCACCTTCTCCTCCACCAATAATACCAACTCGTTTCGGGTTGGGATGGGCAAATAGTCCTGGATGGACCAATGCTTCGTGGTACGCAGCATCTCCCAAGCGACGAGATTGTAGCAATCCACCCATAAAGACGATTCGGTCTGGCTCAAAGAGCTCTGGGTTCTGAGCTTGATAGGAATCGTCTCCAGAAATTGATCTTTCGTAGTCGTCCAATGTACGATCATCCGTCAACACATCAAAGACATTAATGGTTTGGAAGACGGACTTGACAGAAGCGACATGCTTCTTGTAGCGAGCAGCAGCTCCCAATGGATAGATATCCATATCAGAAGACGCCAAGATATCTCCTTCACTGGCTTCTCCAGATTCAAAGCCTCTTGGTTTCAAGAGCCAGTTCACCTTTGGCTTTTTTGGGGATTTTGGATCCGCAAAAGAAAAGGCTTCCTCAAAGTTGGGCAACGCGGACATGGACAGCAAAGGATCGTCATCACCATTCTTGATCAAGAAAATATCCAATGACATGAGTCCATGTTCCGGCCAGGTAGTGTAAGAAGCCCGACCGTTGGCAAGAGCCCACTGACAAGCAACACCCGAAGGACGGTGGCAATGATACGAGGTGACAGTGAGACCACTCTTGTTCAAAGTGTCAATCATGGTGCTGGCCAACTTTTCAGCATCTCCCAGCACCTTGGAATCTAAATATTGGAAGTCCAACATGAGGTGCTGTCCCAACGAAGAATAGTCGTCGTCCTCCTCGTCTTCCTCTTCTTTGTCGTCCTTATTCTCCGCACAGGCAGTTTCAGTGGCTTGAATCCATGTTTCCGAACCATAGACCTTCATGTCGATTGGTTTCATTCCTTCCAGCATGGATGGGACGGGCAAGTTGGTAAGGACTGAGGTGCCATCAGTTGTTAAAGAAGACGACGACTCCGCATAGTTTGTGGACATTTGCCCCAGTCCAAAGGCGATGGCAAAGGAAACGACCAACGACACATGAAAGACAGTGGCCGAGACCTTGATCTTGTAGGACGAAAACGGTTCGGGTTCTTTGGTAGTAGGTTTGGAAGCAGCAGGACTCATTATGTTGTTTTATGTTGTCAATCCTACTTGTGGCTTGTGGATGCTTTCAATTGAAATGGATAAGCTCCAGGTACAACAACTATGCGAACACATCATCATTCATTCAACATTGCCATGTGACATTTGAATGACGCGGACGATGGAAGGACGACCCGATGACAGAGTGATATTGCTCTTTCACTCTTTGTACCGGTACTTTTGGCACTCTCATGCCACACAACAGATGGCAAGATATATAATGCACTTAAAGTGCAGTCTACTTTAAAAGATGACTGGATCAATCCTTTCCTATACAATTCCACGTCTGCTACAAAGCCATCATTCATTTATCATTTATCCCACAGGAGTAGCATACCAGCTGAGCCATTCATGTTCTTCCAACGAGTCATGAGCTCGCTTGGACCAAGTGGCAAGTTGTTCGATAGTCGGCTTGTTATCGTTTTTATCATTCAACTCCGAGTGCAAAGCTTCTGGAATCAATCTCCAATTGGCCAAGTCCTTGGGCGTTCCCGTGCGTGCTTGCTCCGTCAAGATTTCCACTGCGGGGACATTGCCATCACAAATGTCCACAATGATCTCGTCCACCGACTCTTCTTGCGCTTTATCAACCCATTTCGATACTTCGTTTGGCGTTGTACCAAATTCTTGAAACTTGTCGGCAATTGTTGGTAGGCGTGTTTTGATATCCTCGGGAACGTTGGCCAGTTCCCTCCAGTTGTGAATTTGGCAAGTCTTGATCATATGAGTTATAATCGAAGAAATCTTGTCCGGATTGTCAGGTGGTGCCGCTTGAATGCATTCTCGCAGTTCATCGCGATCAATTTCATCGGGTGTTACTAGTTTCCATGTAGAAGAAGCATCGTGTTGTTGCATTCGTGCCAACGCGGCGCGGGCTTGTCGTGAGCTTCGTTCCACCTTTTCGTGCTCTTGCAAGTGTTCCATGGCATGTTCGACGGCTGCAATGGCATCTTGTGCTTTACCAGCATCCATGGCCCCTTCTCCTTTTGACTCTTGATCTTGACGCAGATTCTCCATCGCCTTTTCGGACAATTGCTGTGCCCGTCGTCTCAAGAAAGACCAATCCAAATTGGGAAGCAATTGCTTGTAGCAATCCGTGACGTCAGGTGTATTCGGAAAGGCATGGACCAAACTCCACAAGACCCGCGGCGACAATAGGGCCAAATTTTCAACCCGGAGAGCGTCTTCATTGGAGGCATGAATCCCTTGAATAACCGCTTCCAGAATATCCCGTGGGATGCAATCAACGGTATCCATTTGAATGGATTTATCGACGGTCCCCTTGTACGTAATGGTCAATTTGCCATTATTACTTTCACCACCAATTTGATTTTCTTGTACCACTAGTTGATAGGATTGGTTTTGAATGGCAGCCAAACGTGAAAAGGCCCGGGTGGTTTCATACGACTTGCCCACAGCATTCTTCATTCCCTTTCTTAAGACCGAACCCATTTTGCCTTTGTTGTTCAAGGCTCCCAATAGAGCTTCGGACATGTCACCACTTCCAGAGGCTTGTAAAATATTTTTCTTGGCCCGACTCTTTTTGGGATTGACTACCGTGGCACCATCGGCCAGTCGCCTTCCGTCTCCTACACTGGCCCCAAAGTTGGGTCTGGAGGATGTTTTGTTGCCGGATGGCTTCGTGGTGGGTCGGGGACGCTTCTTACTGGGCGCGGATGCTTTGTTCATCATTTCGTCTTGGGCCTTGATCACAGCTGGCATGGCTTCCGTGGCGGCTTTGGCTGCAGCTCGCTTGGATCGTCGACCCGAATTGGTAATGTCGACTTCTGGCACTTCTGGAGCAGTGCTGATTTTCCCTTTCCCTTTTCCTTTTCCTTTGCCCTTGGCTTTTGCTTTTCCAGTAGGTTCACTGTTGGCAGTAGTATCAAATTCCACCTGCAAGCGCTCTTGATTTTGAATGATATCCTTGATGGAAATGCTTCCCTTTTCCAATCCTTTGGGAGGGAAACCGTATTTCAACGTCAAGACTGGAGTTTGAAAGGTTTCAGTAGCCAGTTGAAACAATTCTTCTGTTGTCGCTGTGTCAGTTATTTTGACAATCTTACGTCCCTGACGACTTTGCAGACATAAACTCCATTGTTCAGACATGGAATCAATGCACCTAAACTTTGTGGGTGCTAGCTAGGAATGAATGGATGTGTGTACCAGTTACTGGTACAGAACAGTCTGAGGGCGGACCTGACGATTTTTCTGGTTTGTGTATGGATCGATGAAGAAGGACGATGTTTGATCCCTCCGACCCGAAACAGGTCGACCCAGTCGACTAATCCTAGAGCACTCAAAACAAAGAAAAACACATCGGAAAGTCTCATCGTGTTGCTTCATCAACACGGTACACGATCGTCGATCAATGACAACTCCGTCTCTTGATAATGCAAAATGCGGAAGACTTCAATAAAAGCGATGGAATCATTCATGGCTCACAATTTCAACACACTGGAATTGTATTGTAATTCAAATCATGACTGACAATACCTGTTCCATTTGTCTCGAGCCCTTGATCTCTGCTGAACATGGGAAATCCATTGGCACGGCAGTTCCTTGTGGACACTGCTTTCATACAGTACGTTGAATATTTGATATACTATACTGGATTTCCTTGCAGTTGGTAAATGTGACTGACAATTGCCCCTTTCCTATCCACATTAGAAATGTTTTCATCGCTGGAAAGCCAGTCGCCGCACCAGAATTCGTGTTCCTTGTCCCAACTGCAACAAGACAACGGATGATTTCATCAAGCTCTTTATCTCTTGCGATATCGAGGATTTACAATGCCTTCCCATTGAAGAGCCGCAACCCAAACCTCGAAAGTCACCTGCCGTGGTCATTTGTCCGTCTCCTCCACGACTAGCAAGTCCAAGCCGCATTACCCAGGGGGATCCGCCCAGTACGCCACGGCCATTGGTAACGGCAAGGAGAATTTCCAGTGATGATACAATGAATCGTGCAGCTACGGCACCATCGGGACGCACTCCTCGTCGTGCGGCTGCAGAACTATTGGGACGCAATCCTGGCAGTACTCGATCCTCCTCGAGACTGTCTCCCTTTCGAGCCAGGGTCCGAGACAACAATAGCCAAGCACCAGTCATTTCGAGTCGTCGCCACTCCACTAGATCCTTGGGCCGAATGCTTCAACTTTCCAAAATGGTCAAGGACCTCAAGGTCGCCCAGCAATCCATTGTCAAGCAAGTTCATGATCATCGCAATATTATCTTTACCTTGGGAACTTGCCGACAAGATCAGCAGACCAAGCGCATTTGCAAACTAAGGGCTAGCCAATCCAAATTGACGAATGACATGGAAGACCATTGTGCGGCAATGGAGGACATTCCACTGGACAGTTTGCGAAGACGCGACAGCCGACGTATCGAAGAAATGCAATCCGAGTTGGAAGTCAAAAAGACGACGCATCGAGAACAATCCGAGTTGGTCAATACTCTGTATACCACTCGCCTCACCCAAGAACGAGCTCGAGTGGCGCGACTCCGCGAGGAACAACGCAAATTGAACGATACCTTGAGGGACTATGGTGCCGCCATCAAGGCGCTCCATCACAACCGCAATACGAATACTGGAGGAATTCGATTGCGGGGACGCAAGCAGCGGCACTTGACAGACCGAGTTGGTGCCCTAGGAGATGCCATTCAATCGATTAATCTCAACATGTTGGAACGTGATCATGTCAAGAAGATGAAGCATGCAGAAGATGGCTTGATTGCGTTGGTGCAGAGAGTGGGGGACCATGGAGCATCGATTCAATCCATGTGTTCGGTACATCACTTTCTTGGTACCTTGCTTCCAGATCATGAATGTTGAAGAATGAGGCTGGTTTTCATACTACTATTTTGTATGCCTCTAGCGCAATAATGTGAACTATTGATCATGTTTGCTTGTTTTCAGTACAACTACTACAATTTTATACGTACACGTGTACGTAAAACACCTACGCGAGATATCTTGAGCTATTTAGAGGATCATCATGAGGCATAAACGGATATACAAACTATCTTCACTATGCAGTAGTGTGCGGGCACACCCGTAATATATTTTTTAGAGTAGACAAGAAGAATGCCCCAACAAATGTACAGTTGGCATGTATCTGATGTGTACTGACTGTCATGTGTTTAGAGTGTGGCATCGGATGGATTTTGAGGGAGTGACAATTTTGGATACTGGAATTAGACGCGTTTGGTTTTGTTGGGACTGCGGATAAGATAGCGGAGGAAAGGTACGTGAAGACCCGTACAGTTTCGTACGTGGCGGAACGAACAGTAGGTCAATCTGAAACCTTCAATCAACATAGAATATGTGCATAGTCCTGGTCCCGTGCAATCCCTACAAGTGCTGCAGTCGTCTGCCAAATACTGTACCGGAATGTCATCAATGACGGTGAAGTAGCACTGCAATTGAAAGCTTCATCGTTCCTCTCGGGTCGAGCAGATTGAATGTGGCAACGTGGTCGTGACAGTGTATGCTGGTTTCTCCTGCTGATCTGTTCCCGTACACGTAGCCAGAACCCAATAGAAGTTGCCAATTCCAAGGTCGCGACAAGTCCGAGTTCCGACTTTGTTCGCCATGCAACAACATGGTGATATGTGTCGAGTTCTATTTCAGGGCCCACTGTTTGGTCGCTTGACCAAAGCTGGAAGAGACTACTTGTTGAAGAATGGATGGCAAGTCTTGTTGGAGAATAATAATGATGATGCTGATAATTTCAATATTGCAGCTGTGCCACTGGGAACACAGCGCCTTGGCTTTGTTTGGCCCACCAAAACCGGTCCACAGTTTCAGATCGACGATGCCACCGCTGCCCATATTCGCCCTTTTCCAAAGCACATGACGGATATTTTTGATGACAAGCTACAATTGGCAGAGGCTTTGAAAGGAACGACATTGGCGCCGCCCTGTCTGTTGCAACCACTCGTGCCGAAAACCATAGATCCCCAGAAACTTTATTTTGTCAAGCACCGCTATGGTGCCCAGGGGAAAAGTGTCTACGTGTACAGCAAGGATGACCTCTTGGCGTGGCACGGACGGTCCCAGAATCCCCAAGAGTTTGTCATTCAAGAGGAGATTTTGCCAGCATTGCATGAGGGCCGCAAATTTGTGCTGCGTTGTCACCTATTGTTGGTACAAAATAGAGACGGCAATAACGATATCCATGGCAGCCATGGCAGCCATGATATTCCTTCTACTGTTGCTGGATTTGTTCACAAGACTTCCATTATTTGTCAGCACCACACCACTCGCTATCAAAAAGGCATTTCGGAAAAGTCCTCGCAAGTCAGTCAGGCGGGCAAGAAGCATCCAGCACCCATTCTGTTCCAAGATTTGCCATCCGATCACCCCTGTGCAAACGCCTACGATCAAATATTCCACTCCTGTCAAACCTTGTGCTCGACGGTTCCAATATCATCGTCTGGCACGACGAATGCTACTACTACTACTACTCCTCCTCCTACATCATTGGCACCAGAAACAACGTGCTTTGGACTCTTTGGTCTGGATCTCATGATGGATTCAGATGGAGATATTAAAGTCTGTGAAGTGAATTCCCATCCAGCACTAGGCTGGGGGACCATGTCCAAGGTTCCCCAAGAGGTATTTGAAAGATTGATTGAAGAAACACTGTCACTCCTGTTGCAAAATAGTGATCCAGAGTATGCAGAATCAAACTTTGATAAGCTTGGTACATATTGATAGAAATGAAGGATGTGCTTTGAATTTGTATCCTGTATCTTG